TACAAATGTCAACAATGTGGGAAAGCCTTTAATAATAACTCAGCCTTCAATAAACATCAAAGAATTCATTCTGGAGAGAAACCCTTCAAATGTCAAGAATGTGGCAAAGCCTTTCAGTATAACTCCTACCTTTCTGTACATCAAAGAATTCATTCTGGAGAGAAATCCTACAAATGTCAACAATGTGGCAAAGCCTTTACTGTTCGTTCTAGGCTTACTAAACATCAAAGAAGTCATTCTGGAGAGAAACCCTACAAATGTCAACAATGTGGCAAAGCTTTTAATGATAACTCAGCCCTTATTAATCATCAAAACATTCATTCTGGAGAAAAACCCTACAAATGTCAACAATGTGGCAAAGCCTTTAACCAGTACTCACACCTTTCTAGACATCAAAGAATTCACTCTGGAGAGAAACCCTTCAAATGTCAAGAATGTGGCAAAGCCTTTCGCCATAACTCAGACCTTTCTATACATCAGAGAATTCATTCTGCACAGAAACACTACAAATGTCAATATGCGACAAAGCCTTTAATAGTAATTTAGCTCTTACTAAACATAAAAGAATTTATTCTGGAGAAAAACCGTATAAATGCCAACAATGTGGCAAAGCCTTTAATAATAATTCAGACCTTACTAAACAAAAGAATTCATTCTGGAGAAAAACCCTACAAGTGTCAATGATGTGGCAAAGTCTTTCACCAGTACTCAGGCCTTTCTGTACATAAAAGAATTCATTGTGGAGAGAAGTCTTACATATCTCATCAATGAGGCAAAGCCTTTCATGTTAATTCAACCCTTACTAGACATCAAAAACTTCATTCTGGAGGGAAGCCCTGGAAACGTTAATAATGTGCCAAATCCTTTCACCAGTACTTGTGCCTTTCTGAACATCAAAGAATTCATTCTGGAGAGAAACCATACAAATGTCAACAAAGTGGCAAACCCTTTAACTAGTATTCAAACCTTTGTACATGAAGTAATTCTTTCCTGAGACAAACCCTACACATGCTAAGAATGTAGTAAAGACTTTAACCAATACTCCGGCCTTTCTGTACATGAAATATTCATTCTGGAGAGAAACCATACAAATAACAATGTGGCAAAGCCTTTAATCAGTATATGAACCTTTTTGTACATAAAAGAATTCTTCTGGAGAGAAACTTTATAAATATGAACAGTGTGGCAAACCCTTTAACTCACATTTAAAACTCACTGTACATAAAATAAATCATACAGGACAGAAATCCTCAAAATACGAAGAATATTGTAGTACCTTTACCTGGTATTGATAACTTGCTACGCATAAAAGAATTCGCACTGGTGAGAAATCCCACAACTGTGAACAGTGTGGCACTTCCCTTAACTGGATTTCAAACCTTATTACATATAACAAAATTCATATTGGAGATCTTATAGATGTGAATAATGTGGCAAAGGTTTCTCCTGGTGTTCAGCCCTCATTAAGTATAAGAGAAATCATCCCAGAGAAATAATGTAACAATATGAAGATGTGGCAAAGCCTAATGCCAGTAGTCAAGTTTTCTGTACACAATAGAATTCATGTTGAAGGGAAACTGTACAAATGTGAAGAACTTCACACTACAAATGTTTAACTCGTGCTCAAAACATTGTATAAATGAAAACTATAACAGAGAAATCCCTGACAAGTATGATGAAGGTTTTGAATCCTATAACAACTACTCACACATTTCGGTACATAGCAGAATTCATTGAGAAATTGTATATATGTGAAGAATGTGACAGTGTCTTTAAGTGTCTCTCATGCTTTTCTCATCAGAATTCATATGAAAGAAATACTCTATAACTGTCATTCATGTCTCAAAGACTTAAAGTTGTGTTTGTCCTGGTATGTAGGGCAGAGGAGAGACAGGGTCAGATGATACTAGGAGATCTTTTGTCCATCATAAGAGGAACAAAATGACCAGAGGGGGTTTCCATGAAAGACAAGCTGGCATTTTAAGAAGGCTTCCAAAAAGTGAACTGATGTTTGCTCTACAAAAATGACTCTCAGGCTCGGCACCTGTCGCTCAAGTGGCTAAGGCGCCAGCCACGTACACCTAAGGTGGCAGATTCAAATCCAGCCCAGGCC